TGGCCTTTTTAGTCGTTGGCGGCGTTTGTTGCGCCATCTCTTGTCTCCCGTGCGAAACGGCGCCGTGTTGTTTGCAGACCGGTGGCGTCTCTGCGTTTCCATAGGAGCTAAGCCTTTTTCCTCCTTTACTTTTTCCTCAGGCAAGTTCGCTCTTCGCAAATTTTACAAAAAAAAAAAAAAATGCACCATCTGTGGGCAACGCTGCACAAAGTCGTGGCCCGATAGGTTAAGAAACCGAATTTTCCGGTTGATTTAAAGAGCCTGGCGTCTCCTTGTTTCACCCTCAACCCTCTGACGTCACACCACGGTGGTGGCACTGCCGTCGGCTCTGCGCGTTCGCAGAAGTTTCGCCACAGTCGAATCTGGTCTCTGCGCACGCGCAGTGCCCGCACCTTGCGTGTGTACAGATGTCCACGCGCCTCTACGCACACTTTGTTTTCCCTCTTAAACGTCAGCAATGCAAAAAAAAAAAAAGCAAAAGTATCGAGTTGTGACTGTATAATAAGATCAACATTGATGCGACGATAGAAAAAAAAAAAATAAAACTTGCCTTTATGATTCTCGTAAACCAGGGGAGCAGATAATGAGTCGTGCGTAGTGTATTATTCGTGCGCCATTGGAAGCTACGCTTGGTTACTGAGAGCTTTGGGTGGTTCCAGAGGGATTGCACAAACGACACTCCCTTGTTCTCACCGGGTTTATCAGAGGGACGAATACAAGTTTAAAATTATTCAGGAGTGGAGAGTGTAAGGCGTATGCTTTAATGAAGCGTTTTCACGGGTTTCAGAAATACTTTGAGTACATCTTACTCCGCAACAGTCCCATGGCCTTGTTGCCGAAAAGCTTTTGCGTAGATGGAACGGCTAAAAGCACGCATTTTTGAGGTTCTTTCCTCTGGATTGAGAGGTGCAGTTTCCGCCATCTATTGCCGTGTAAACTCTCCGAAACAGCAAAGATTGCCATCTGCTGTCTTTGCGAATCCGGTATATCGGTGTTTCGGCGACCAGCCTCTCCGTCGTCACGGAGCAAAAGCACAACGTCGAGAGTGCAATCGAACGTGCTCTCTCGAATGGAACGTTTTAACCCGCTCAAGGAGTATTTAGCGCTGAAGGTGCTGTGTATAACGCAGTTGAAGGAAGTAGAATGAATTCTCGTGGTAAATATTCGGAATATGCCTCTTCCGGGGGTCACGTGGCGCCTTGATTCCTTAAAGGGATACCGAACTGAAATTTCGAGCTCACAAAACAGTGCTGGAGCGATAGGAAGGACGTTGCAGAACGCAGAAACACCACTCATACTGCGATATCTCTAACGGATGGCTATATTCTTGGAAAAGAAACGTGCAAGAAACGTGACATGTGACGTCACGATTTTCATTCCTTCTTCTCCTCGCTTCGTCCCGTCGAGCTGGTGAACCGAAGCGAGGAGGAGAAAAGCAGCTTCCCTTCATTCTCAACTTTTTCAGGAGGATAGTGGCGTCAGCTTTCTCGCTTGATCGCGCCCTTCTTTTCTAAAAATACGGCCATCCGTTTGGGATATCGATGTATGAGTCGGGTTTTAGAGTTTGTAGCGTCCCGTTCGACGCTTGTGCGGCCTTATTTTGCAAAACCTAAATTTCGGTTCTGTATCTTTTCAAAGCCAGGATCACGGTGTGGCCGGGATCGACTGCCCATACATCATACAAAAACAGTCTGCAAACAGAAGTCACCGCAATATTCGTGGATTGAATGACGCGTGCCGAGGTCATTTGCTAATTTATTCAGGTTGCCTCGCAGCGCTTAAGGAGGCAATATTGCGAGGAAAGAATGCGAATACATGATCAAATGTACAAAAGCTCAAGCTAAGCGTGTAAAACGGATTTGAAGTAATTACATGGTACTCACTTGAAGTTCTCTCCTTCAACTCATTGCCATGCGGCATTCGAAGCACGAATCTCGCGGTGACTCGCGTTGGACTCTGTATGGGGACTGTCTTTTGTATGATGTATAAGCAGTGTGAAACACTAAAATAACACGAAAATGCAAAAAAAAAAAGAGAAAAAATGTAATGGTGAGAACATTTCATTTTGTTATTTTTTTACGAAAAAAATAATTTTGGGATGAAATGTTTCGCCTTTAGACTCAATCCAAGGGAGGGGGGTAGCCTTGCTCTGGGCACCCCCCCCCCCCCCCCCCCTTCTTTTCCCCGGTGCTTATCTCGCTTAGCACGTTTTCTCGGCTCTGATTGGTTGAAGAGATGATTGACTTGCAAAATGAGTAGTAAAATTGTTTATAGTCTTTTAGTCTTTTATACGACTTTTTATGTTTCAGAAACAAATTATATAAATCAAGCATTGTTTAAAAAATTGTTCGACGATCAATGGAATTTATTCGATAGAATGCGTTAGCATTTTTTTCTCACTCCCTTTTTACATCTTTGCAATCGTTTAGGACCACTTGTCATACCTTTATCACCGCTTTCCTGCCGTTTATCACCCTTTGCTATGCGTTTTTGACCCCTTTCAGATCGTTTATGATCCGTTTTAAAGTTTTTCTTTTCAACCCCTTTACCATTCGTGGAAACAACCACACGGCCGAGGTGCCCGCAATCTGACGGAAGCTTATTGCGGAGAAGGCGCCGTGTAACGCAGATTTCGGTTGCACGTCAAAAGATCCCCAGGTGGTCGAAATTGATCCTCAGTCCTCCGCTGGGCGTGCCAGATGCCCGTCGTTGGTTTGGCACGTAAAACTTCTAAATTTGACTTTTGGCTTTGAAAGAACCACACCCATCGCCGGAGCGGCAACTGAGCTGGGCCGTATTCCAAAGCCGCGCCACGCCCGCTTGTCTCTGGCTCTGCGCCAGCTGTGCGACACTCGTATTAGTCCGAAGCGCTGACGTCAGCAAGCGTCACCATCCCATTCTCTCCCCACCGCCGTGGTGAGGCATTAAACTCTAACCACGATACCCCCTCACTATTCCACTCTCCTCGCGACGTCATGCATGGCGCTGACACACGGACGCACAAACTGACATCGGCGGGTTTTCCTGAAAATGAGCGTTCTAATGCTCACGCTTTAAAATATCACGAGATCGTCTTTTCTGTTTCGTTTTCAAACGATAACAACATGGCTGCCGGCGTTTACGGCGAGCGTTTGACACACTGAGTAACACGTTGAGCTCGCCTGTTTTTCGGAGTGCGAGTCGCTTCGCGTTCATGGAGCTGTTAAGTGGGAGATACCGATGTAGTTTGCACGAAACAACTGTCGCAAGCACTTCGGAAGCCCTGTGCGAATGCTGGCTTTCGTAGTGGGACTAGCGAAAACCTAGCGTCCCACGTCAACTGTTTTGCTCGATCTAGTTTGGCTTGCTCATTTTCGCGTTTTGATGCTGAATGTATTTATCGCGTTCGTCTCGCATCAGGTTTGTCCAGGTATGTTTCCGTCATTTCGCTTCGGAACGCACGTAGCTCTCCAATTTTGAGCAGTGCACCTGGCTTGCTCAAGGAAATATTTTTAGTTGGCGTTTTAATCGTTCGTCATGACGCTCACCCACCTTGCTCGCGGACGCACTATGCAAGAAAAGTTAGAAAACAAAAAACAAAAAACAAAATAAAAAAATAAAAACTGAAAAAAACTGCATATTTTGTTTTAGTTCTTTCGGTCGCTTTTTACCGCACATCGACAGACGCTTGTATTAAACCATGGTTTGTGCAGAATGGAACGCTGGAATGCCGTTTCATGGTCGCGTCTGGCGATCGCTGCAGCCGGATTTAGACGGAGGAGAAACAGCAGAGGAACACAAGCGACGGCGGACGCAGACGAGCCGCTTTTATAGCCTCATTTTGATGACGTCACACGTGGAGCTAGGCTTTGTCAATCGAGAGCTATACTCCGCGACAACATTTCTTGGCAATGCAGTGGAAGGTACAGGCCCGCGTCCCCTCTCCCATTTCTAGTGTATGCAGGCTCTCCTCCTCCCCCATTTCCGGGGAGAGGAGGAGAGCCTGCGCACACTCAAAATGGGAGAGGGAACGCGGGCCTGTACCTTCCACTGCATTGCCAAGAAAAGTTGTCGCGCTGTATAGCTGTGAGCGCCGACGGTCGCCTGTTCACGCAGGCTCCCGTGAGCCATACTTGGTCCTGCTGTTTGTGCTTTGTTTCACCTCTCATGACGCCGACAAAAGGCGTTGAGCTGCGGATCGCACGGTCGTGGCCTGGGTTCCCACTGAGCCACTTGGTATATATCGCGTTTTACAATGTATTAACCCTAATATGAATTCGTAAGATTAATTATAATTAAAAATGCATTATTTTAGATGCTTATGCATTACTCCGTATAGTCATTGTGTGCTTCATGTTGTCTTGTTTTAGATATGCGAAACGATTTTTCGTAACACTAGAGTGTGGCATCTTTTGCACGAAATACAGCCCGTAAACAGAATCTGCGTTAAAAATAATCATTGGCATAGCCACCTAGGAGCAGTTTCATGAAGAAAGTCTCAGTTTTCCTTCGTATGCTGCTGGATGAAAACCATAACAGGCATATCTTTGCTATGGGTCTCTTATGATTCTGTAATCTTTCGCCCCGCTATAATCTGTTTCCTATCACACGATATATTGTTAAATGTGGTAGCAGTCCTGTAAGCAACTCCCCTGAAATATTCCGGTCGTCACATTGAAACACATGCGAATGAGAGGGAAAGTGAAGTACGCGCGCCGTTGTCATCTCTTTAAAAATGCATGCGCGGGTCGGGGGAAAGGCGCTCACTGGATGTGCCGCAACCTTCACAATGTTGCACAAGTGCAAGAAGCGAACTGAAGAAGACTTAGATGAACAGAAGAGGCAACGTATTATGACCGCGCCCGACATTTGATATGCTTATTCACCCGCTATGTGGTTCGGCGCAATTTAATCCACGGCACGTAACAGTCAGAAAAGACAACCAATTCCGACGTAATCTGCAGCAGAGTACTACGGAAGCACAGCCCTTATTTTGGGCTAACATATTTTCGAGCACTTACCCAAGATAAAGCTCGCCACCGACACAGTGATCACGGCGCTACTCAGGACAAGAATCCCATGCCTCAGCGAAATGTCTTCGGAAAACACAACCAGGGAAGTGACGATGGCATACAGCGAGGCCATGGCACCCACCACCAAGGACTGGCACTACGAAGCAGGTCGGGGAAAAAGACGATTTAAGATCGCTCGGAGGAACTCAGAAATAAAGATATACTGAACAATTAAACTAGTGGTTCTCAACCATTGATGTTTCGCGGACCCCTTGTGGATCGGCGCAGATGATGGAGGATCCGGTTCGTGACGGGAGGAAGGAAAAGGTACAGGTTAATTATGATAATGATTTAATATTTGGATATAACTAAGGGCTAGTGTGAAATAAACTTCTCTCATTGACGCTCACACGAGAGATCTTGCCCGAAAATTGGAAAGTTTCTGGACAATCTGAAAAAAAGGCAACTTTTATTACCAGGCTTGACTGATGAAACAGGTCCTCGTGGACCCCTACAATGCCTTCGCGGACCCGAAGAGGTCCGCGGAACCCCATTTGAGAACCACTGAATTAAAAAAAAAAAAGAAAAAAACTACTTAGTAATAAGGACTGTAGTAGTTACACTGAACCGCCACATAGACGCCATCACGCATAAAAAGAAGAAAAAAAAAACGCGAGGGTTGAAATTTCGTTTTTTTGTTTCAACTGGCCGTCATTTCACCTGGTGTGCCGATGGTACCAATGGTTGTTTGGCTTGCAGCTTACGCTGGGGAGACAACATCCTTTTTAAATCGTAGGGTCATCGGCACAACTGCAAGAACTATATGTGTAAAGAAGAAGACACGCAAGGGACAAGCGAATTCCTGATATCAAACGACATATCCCGTTGTCACCTGATGGTTTCATGCAAGGCCATTACGGTACCTGTGAGCAGAAATCTACGACTGAGAGTACCGCAAACATGTGAGGGACGGTACCTTCTTAAAGAAGGCTGTTAGCGCACTAAATCAGAAAGCAAGGGATCATCTAGGAGTGAACCACTGAAAATTGGTACAATCATTAATTTCCCTTTTCTGCGTTTAAACAAGTGCCAGGACCGTTGTCGCCCAACACTTGTAGATGGCGGCTGGTTGCGATACCCCACTTATTTCTGTTATGGCCGTATAGTTTTTGCGGGTGTGTTACCTGAAGCAAGGCCATGTTACCGCAGGTGATGTTGAGGACTTCCATCAGGGAATCCATTTTCCCTAGGTGGGCCTAAAATTTTACGAAAAAAAAAGGTCACATAAGGATAAGGCAGTACTAGTCTTTTTTTTTTCTAATTCCAGTTTGGGTTTTGATTTTTCACACCGACAAATTATCTGTAAATAAAAACGCTTTTGTTTCTAAGACCGAGAAAGTGTGAACTAGAATCAACACCTGGTAGTTTCAAACATTACGGAGAAAATTGACAGATTTCTCTATCTCAGCATTTTTTCAGTACTTCCTTGGCGTTCGTCTGGCTTGACGGCATGCGCTACTTATCCTAGTGTGGTTACCTCGGTGACAGATATAAACGCTTGACTTCACGCACCTGTGTCGATAGCCTCGAGGCCAGAGTCATCTCCAGGTTTCCTTTGAGACCCAGCAGTGCAGGCACCAGAACGAAGAGCTGGGAGACATCGATGAAGACTTGCCAGGACTGCAAAATCAGTTCTCGTCGTCAGGATTTGGGCGACGTAGTTAAAGGAGGGGTAAGAAGGATGGCCTTGAGCAGAATAAAGCAAACTCTGGATGATACAGTTAATTATGCCGAGATCGAAGCATGTTGGAGTAATAGATTATACATACTCAGGTAAACAGATGGAATGATTGCGTGGGAGAAAAAAAAGTGCAAAAAAAATCGCAGTTTACAATATGTACTGCGATCGAAGGTGGCTAGACAATGTGGTTACAACGAGGTTAGTATAGGTACTTTGGACACAATTTAATTGGAACAGATAGCCGCCAGGATCTTTATTACATGCCGAATTTAACATTCTGCTGACAACTTTTGAAACTGAAAACTCGGTCATATATTCGAAAACTGCCGGCTGCAATATTTACTGGTCGTAAAACTATCTCCTGTACGTTCGCTCGAAAACACGCAGAAATAAAGAGTTTTATTCTTTTTTGGCAAGCCCATCGATATTTTAAAGTGATGGGCACTACGTTTTTATAAACAGTTTTAATGTCAATTAGAGCCTTATAGTCACAAAGATAAGCATCCAGTAGCAATGAATGAGGACATGCTTACAGGATGAAACTGAACCTGCCTAAGAAGTAGTTTTAAAAATGATGATACCAGACCTCCCTTGATAAGGTATGACCTAATTTCCCTTCATGTTCTGTACGTTTTTTTTCCCGGAGCAGTATTGCCATTTGAGACTACAACACCCAATACTTGTACCAGACGAGAAGGATAGGCACGGCCAATATGTCCATTGACAGCAATATTTATCGGTGTCACGTCATTATAGATGAGGGAGCGTATAGTTGCCAGACTGTTATACAATAAATCTTTCTTTGTTTTTGAGAAAGGAGAAGAAAAACTGGTATACGTATCCACATAAAAAGTAACACTAAAACAATGCCAAGAAAATTTTAAAGAAAACACGTTAAAGGTAACACGCACTACACACGCCGAAACAAAGCAAAGAAAATTGAAACTTGGACGATCTATTCAAAGTTTTCGTCGTACGGCAGCCTAGTTTTCGACGAAAATAATCCCTGGAGAAGAGGAACAAAGGGACAAAGGACAGACACAAATCTCCAAACACAGCCTTTGCATTTAATTGCATTATAACTAGTTTTCGGCCTGCGTTGTCTGGAAGATTTTATTGGGATGTCCTGTGAACTGGGTGTAGCACTAGAAGCTCCAGGTGCTGCATTTGTAGTTCTGGTGGTGTCGGGTTGGCAGAATATGTGTTGCTCTGGGTTCGAATCAAGAAGGTCTTTAATTTCGCTGTCCGTGGCGTCTGTGTATAGTTCAAAATTCTCTTGTGTCCGTAATGCAGTTGCTGCCTGTTCCTGCGAAATGTATGATTGTTCTCTGTTTAGACTCGAAAAGAACTCGGTGCAACCTTGCGAATTACCTTCGCGTTTTGCTCGGATGTTCCAGCATTCTTCATCCTTACAATGTCGCCAGGGTAAAGTTCACGCAGAAGAGATGCGCTGCTTAGCTTTTGATGTTTCTTTCTAACGTGTTTTTCCATACAAAAGAAGTTGGGCGACCTTTATCTTAAATTTCAGTTCGTAAGTATTTCGCTCGGTGAGCGATCATTCTCAAGAGGTGTTGATATATATTTTAGGAGCAGAAGCCACTTGCCCTCACCAGCAGAGCTGGTCTTCTTAAAATTCTGTTTTACAATTTGAACACCCTTTTTAGCTAGACTGTTCGAGCGTGGGAATCTGGGACTGGAGGCCATGTGTTCGAGGTAATTGAAAGACGCGAACGCTTTGAATTCGTATGATGAGATCTGCGGACCATTGCCAGAAGTGAGTACCAACGGCATCCTGTGTATAGCAAATATAGCTTTGAGTTTCTCAATCAGCGTTTCGATTTTCGGATAATTGGAGTACGCATCAAACGCAATTAAATACGAGTTTCCCGCAAACTCGAATACATCACTTCCCACACGACTCCTTGGAAGTTCCGGGTTGTCTCGCATTCACTTGCTTGTGCGTAAGCATAACGTCGACAAGCTGAGTAGCTGCTTGTCGTCGAAATTATGTCTGCATTTAGCCCAGCCAAAATATAATTCTGCGTTCTTTAGCTTTACATTTTGTTATTCCTTGATCTCCGTCATGCAAACGTTCCAGCATTTCCACACGCATGCTTTGTGTTACTACGACACTGTTTCCTTTTAACATAATTTATTTTATTACCGTTAGATGCGACTCTAATGACTTGAAAACATTTTTGAAAGGCAAGTTCTTGGCAACTGCCAGAATCAGCTGTTGCAATACCGTATCTTTTCCAGCTTCCTCGGTCAACCTCGTCAAGGTCGCTGCTGACACTAAGTCCCAAAGTACACTGGTTGCATGAATCGATGTCAGCAGTGGCGTCTTTAGACCCTTCATTGACGGGTGCTTTTGACAGCATTACAGCAACTAACACTTTCTTGACTGGAACGTGCTGTATTGTGAAATCGTATTTTAGTAAAGAAATAAAAAAAATATCTGGGGACGTGGTGGTATCTCGCCTATGGATTTCTTACAGATAGATATGAGTGGGTGATGATCAGTGTCGAGTGTTACTTTCACACAATAGACAAACTGGTGGAATTTTTCTCAGCCAACGAGTAGACCCAATGCCTCTTTATCTTTCTGTGAGTAGCCCGTTAAAACTTCTGTAAAATGTCATGACGGGTACGCAACAGGGCGCCAGTTGTATTGGTCTTGCTGCAGAAGTACTGTAACGTAGAGTACTGGGGGTATTACTTTTCGCTATCTGGGTTAAAGGGCAACTCCGGTCCATAGCTTCGATTTTGGGATTTTGACTGTTTTTAGCGCAGTCAGCGTCCCTGAATTACAAGGTGTAATTGTTTTCTCAGTATTGTACGTAGTTTTAAAGATATCGACGCCTCAAAGTTTCGTTTGGGGTGCGGCCGACAAAACCGAAACTAGCCGCTCAAGGCCCCGGCAACACTGGAAATCAGCCGCTAAGCGGACTTGACGTCACGATCGTTCTCGTTTAACGAGTACGCCGTTCAAGCGGCACCTGCCCCTGTGGCGCTAGCCGTTTAAAGATAAATGGTAAGCTGCTTTCGTTTTAATTCTATATACGTGGTAGATATCCAACATATGTAGCAAGAGTTAGTGAGTATACCCACTAGCTAGCGACTGGTAGGCGAGTGAACTCGTCCGGTGGCGGCGTAGGACGCCGATCTCAATACCCGTCCGCTTTGACTACGGTAGTGGATTTGGCGTACGCCAAAATAAACACCGTAGTCGTTTATTTCGCTAAAATGGCGGAAGAAACTTGTCGCACTGCTGCGTTGAACTTCAGATTTTTGTTTTTGCCTAGGGGAACGTTTTTTTGTTTTTGTTTCCGTTCTTGACGGAGACCTGGAGCGTGCTCATCAAGTGGGTGCGGACAGCCACTCACACGCTCAGCTGGTTATCAGCAAAGCCTCCGCTACTGTTCAAGTCTGAGCCAACACCGCCTAGAACACGCGACGCCGTAGTGCTGACATTTTGTCGTCACCAGCGAAGGCCAACGCTGGTCACAGGTTGGAAACGAGTGCTGCGTCAGTGCTCAACTTTGAGTCAAGTTTGAGCCGAGCGCTGACGCAATGGTCGTGTCCAATCTGTGCTCAGCGTCGGCTTTCGCTGATGAAGACATCTCTATTAGCGCTACGGCCTTGTTTTCCAGAAAGTGTTGTCTGAGCTCCCTAAAAATGGGAGGGAGGATACGAGGGCAAGGAGGCGAAGCGTCTTTGCGCGAGCCGAACATGAATGGCCGGACGTTTTCGATCCTCCTCTCATGGCCACGGCCGCGGAGGGACGCGGCAGAGTAGATATACCCTGACGAGCACCGACGCCACTAAAAAGCAGAGGAGGCGAGGAGGAAAGTCGTGATGCTTGCCTGGTTCGTGTCGAAACAGAAGACAGACGGGCGGACACAAAATTTCACTTCATATGCATGTGTTCTTTCGCTTCACGCGCTTCGAAGTATCCTGTTCGGACTTGCCTTACGACGAAATTAAATTTGAGACAATTTCTTGAACACCGATGAAGAAAGAGAAGATCACCTGCACAATGTCAAGCAGCAGTCCCGCTGCAACCATGCCGGCCCCAGCAAGCATGAACGTAGGGAACACCTGATACAGGAATGCGGAACACGACTCCTCAGGTGGAACATCTAGCAAGCACGAGGATTCGCTGAGGCGCAAGACGTCCAAAGGCGGTGGTTCGTTCCGAGGCTCTCCATCTCCTCCGCCAGTCTCCAGAATGACCGCTGGTGGCTTCTTGACAAAAGCGGCCCTGGAGGCAGGCAAGCGAAGGTCCTCCACGACCAGTTCATGCTCGAAGATGCCGTTGTTCGGAAGATCCTTTTGGAGGCTGTCAAAGAGGAAAAAGGTACCGGCTCTTAATAAAGTAATATTTCAATTTCGGGTTCAACTGCACGCTCATCGATAGCAGTAACCACGTCGATGCTTCCGCGCTAAAACGATAAAGAAAAGCTTTCTAGATTATTTTCACAACAATTACCCAATTTAAATAGTTAACACTATCATAATTTATTTATTCATTTGTATAATGATTCAAATCACCTCGACTTTTATTTTAGGTTTGGTATGGAAGTACACCTCCAAAAACCAACGTATAGGGCTTTGCCGAATGTTCAGCCTGCGCTTCTAGGTACCGCTACCTCAGTGGCAAGCAGACACGCCAGTCGAGCCGGCAGTTTTTAAAATGGACTATTCTGAGCATTTGTTTCGTGCTGCTGCGCGGGTGCTGGAGCGAGCTTCCAGAGCACTCATTTGACACCATGAAACCGCTTGTGATAAGCTGAGAACAAGTCGTACAGTCCGAAGAGTAAACCCCTGCTTGCCGCTGGCGTAACCTTTTCGTTGTTCCAAGCCGAGACTTTCAGTATAAAGAACACGGAGAAAACCAAAATTTAAAATGCGATAACTTCCCGACAAAAAGTTGCTTTGGCCTAATATTTAGGATACTATTTCAGAGATGTGTTGGTATGTTTAGAGGCCAGGCGCACTTGGCGACTTTTACGTTTCTGCTCGTCTGATCAAGCACATGCGTTTTCACTCTTGTCAAAGCTACGCACCCACGAACGTCAAACACGTTTCCACGCATCAAGTACGGGTAGCTGCAACTCTCTTCTGCCAAAGCCATCTGCTGCGCTTGTACTTCTGGCACGTCATTTGTACGTCAATCGAGATGCCCGCGAATGAAAAACACAAACATGCGAGGGAACGGTAATGCCTAAAACTATTTCCTTCGTACTCTCGAAACGCACCATACAGATGATAACATAGGATCACGAGCATGGGGGCAAATATGGGTGATTACGTTATTCTTAAAAACACGAGAAGGCGCCACCGCCACAACTTTGGCTACTCTGTACCAGTTGTTGATGATAGGTTTCGGGGATTTCACGGCGAAAATTAATATTTGCGACCGAAATTTCGATAGTGTGTGTAAGAAGCCGGGTGGATAGGCTATCGTTGTCAAGGTTGACAGGCAAAGTTGAGTCTAATAATTACTGTTCTTTGCGCCAAGCAGAATTACTTATACTAGAGTCTTCATAGTAAGCGCTTGGACCATCGTGAAAGGCGGACCACAGCGACGCTCTTGGTCAAGCACGTCGCCAATAGAAAGAGTAACAAAACGAGGTCGATCTGGAATTTTACTGTTCATGTTACTTATTGTTTGCACAAAACTGCCGTTTAGGGTGAGGAGGGGTTTGCAAACTTAGAAAGACAAGTAATTAGCACTAATGCTCTCCCGAGAAACGCAAATATGGCAGTTAGTTGCCCTGTCCCATGGGAGGGTAAATTAATGTCAGTTCCATCGAATGGTATTTATATAATATGCGAGTCAGCTCGAGGTTCGTGGCGCGTGAATACGTGCTGCGACAGGAGTGGGGCGTATATACTGAATGGCCAATCGCTCAAACGCCATTCGAAGCAAGTGACATTCAATTTCTCGTCTTACAAAAGTTGAAAATAATAAAGGTTATGAAAAAACAAAAGAAAAAAAAGGATATTACGACTTTTGGCTGCCATTGTAGACCTTTCAGCTGCGGTCAGATGGGTCGCTGCCATCATGGAATCACATGACGCACCCGCCACGAGGTGGCTTTAACTCGTCGCTCCACTCCCCCCTCCGCGCCTTGGCGAAGGCGTTCCATTCGTGTTCTGCGTCGAGTTTCACCGCGTTTCTCGACTTATTGTGAAAAGTGTCGCCTGATGCTTACATTTACACTTTGTCGCATGCCATCTTTATGTGAACCACGACATCTGCAGTTTATTTTGTAACACACCTCGTCTATTCTCAGCCTCGGCGTACCGGATACGTATTATGAGAATGGAGGAGGTACAGGGATCAGCGTCAGCCCTGACGCACATTGAGCCCAATTATTTATGACAACTAAACTGCGCTCAGTGATAGTGGCGGAATATTCGAAATAAGTCTAACGCAATGTATATTTATAATCGTGTATTTAGGATCTTAAGAAATGTGACCAACTGAGCTCAGTTGGTAGAGCTCTCCACTGAAAATTGAGAGGTCCCGGGTTTGATACCCGGACCAGGCCGATTTTTTGCAGGCCATGTTAGAAGCATGCATATATTTATAAATTGAACAAGTTTCCATCGGTGCCTGAGACGCGTCCTCAGAGAATTCTGTCATTATATCCAGTACGTTTTTTTTAATGAAGTCATGAGCCAGGTGATTGCGGCTTTAAAGGGACACTGACAGGGTACCCATGCGTGCCGAGGTTTGACTCAAACATAACCTATGACAGTCCGACTGCCCAGAACGCAGCTTACTGCTCGAAATTCGTATTCTTCCCGCCCGAAAGCCGGCGGTCGAGTATTGGCCGGTCTCAGGCGCCCTCTCTCTCTCTCTTCCATGGTTACGTCCCTTCAAACTGATGCATACCATATATACTTGAAGTCGTGGGTCGTCTAAAACACACATTCAAACTAAAAAAAAAAAGAACACGAAAATCGCGAGTTTCCTTTTTTTGTCTGTTTAAAATTGCAAACACGTTGATCAAAAAAGTGTTTGACATATCACGGAGAGTAGACTTATAAGTCATTCTCAATACGTAGTTATATAGCGCGCGCTGGACGACGTGATGGCGGCGCACGACGGACCAACGTTGCGACGGATGTGTGACCGCTACTTCGGAGACTGTGGTTCGTGGTACCGGCCAATCGATCTTCAAGTGCAGAACGGCGAGGTGAAGAGATGTAAGTATAACACATTCGCACGACAGCCGGTCGAAGCAACGTAATCGTGGTCGTCGTCTGCTTCACACACTCAAAAACCGGAAACCGGTGGAACGAAAAAAAAAAAAAAAAATACTGGGTAAGGACGTCAGCGTTGCCGGAAGCCACGTGACTTCCGGCAACGCTCTCCTCCGAGCCTTTGAGCACATGTTTCCGTTTTCGTTTCGAGCAGTTGCGTCCTTTTACTTTATTAAAAATATAGGCTACTGTGTATCAAGATACAAACAAACAAACAGAAAAAAACTGTGTGTGTGTGTCAGTGTGTGGGGAGGAGGGGGGGGGGGGGTGGTGGTGTCAGTGTCCCTGCGAATGCCCATCGGCGTGCGCAGGCGCGCCAATTTTTATCTTTAGTGCCTTTGAAGGTCTTTGGTGCATATCGTTTTAAGGCATTTGAAGTACCCATGACAGATATATTATTATTATTGGCTCAAGGTTGAAATTGTTATTCATCTGGAGGTTACAGCCATTGCCTGAAATGCGTACAGTGAAAAGCGGCAGCCGTTCCCAGCACTGCTTCCAATGACACGTATGTTAAGAATGGCAACAACATGCTGGCTTTAATATAAAATAAGAAACCACTTCCTGCTTCCACAAGCGATATATATGTTTCCATTAGGGCCATTGTACAACCTTACCGAAAAGAGGAGGTTATTTATTATTTGTACAAAAACCAGAATAGTACAAGAGGCGTTAATAAAGTTCGTATTATTGTTACGAAAAAAAAATAGAAATTAAGCAATGAAACTGGTGGGATTTTTGCGTTTCTTTACACATTCGCCACCGAAATTAACACACTTTTGTCAGCGATGGACAACCTGCCGGAGGCCATTTTTATAGAACTCCTCGTTTTGAGTGTTTAGAAATCGCTCCACTTCAGCAATCAGTCGCTCGTCAGCCTTGAATTGCTTTCCACGCAAATGAGTCTTCATGCGAAAGAAGAGGAAGGAAGCTGGGAGGTCAAGTGAATTGAGGGGGTGACGCAACATTCCGTAACGTAAAGAGGACGCCTGGGACAACGTCGCCTCTGCCCAGTGGGCCCGGGTACTGTCATGAAGCAGACGGACGTCTTTCGTGATCTTCGCTTTGCGCTTTGCCCTTACAGCTTCTCGCTACTTTGTGACAAGCTCACGCGATGGTTATACGTTACCGAAACTCGAGTGATGTGCGCTCATGTTGATGCCTGTTTACTTTCGTCCGTTTTTTTATCGTTCCCCATCTCAGGGTTTACAAGATGTCGATTGTTTACCAGCTCGCCTGCACTCTCTCACTGCTTACTGTTTTGTTCTTTTTTTTCAATTTTTTGTGCCGTTAATACGAACTTTATAAACGCACCTCGTACTTTTAAAAATGCTATGTCGTGTGTAATGGTATATGTACAAGGTCTTCAATCAACTAATATGCACTTTCATGTTTACTAAACACACTCATTAACGTTTACTATCAGAGTCCAATCAAAAAATATTAAAAAAAAACGATCCACTCCTTTCCTTGTTTTAGTGGAAGAACTTTCCTTTCAGCAGAAGGGTCAGCAAGCAGCAATTCATTGCAGATATTACCTTACTGTGGATGCCTAAAGATTGCGACGACCATCGTGCAGAACATAAGACCAACATATTTACGCAATTTGCGAGATGTCCCGGCTCATAACGCAGATGCCACATTGATCTTGCATCAATGTGTGGGAGTCAGTCGTAGAAGATGCTCACAAACTGCAAACAAAACAAACTACTAATCGTCTTCTTTCTTTTAAAAATCAAACGCGCACAGTTTCCTTTATCGTTGCTGTACACTCTGATGTGCGGATATCCCCACAGAATCAAACTACGTACTGGTAGAAACAGCGCCGCTACAATAATTATCCTGCAACTCAAGGTGCATAGCATCTGTGAAATGTTTTGGAAATAAACCTTCCTGAAATAAATTAAAGCCCAATTTCGTTCTGGAAATTGCTATGTGGGTTTCGTTTTAGCGGGGAGCGTTTTGCAGCTGCTATATAAGACTTGACGTGCGTGCAATGCTTCACGGAGATAGGGCGAACAAACACCACATAGAAAAACCAAGCCTGTGTCCACTGAAATT